AAATCTGCTACATCTGCTATATAGACTAATTATGCAATGTAAATAATTATGCAATCGATCCACTATTTGCGCCTAATGCATCGTCGATCCATTCTTAATCGTTACACTACCAAGAGTTTAATATGTCTTTTGATATATTCATTTTTGTTATTATCTTATTTTAGTTAAACCTTATTATATGTATATGCATTCTATTACTCATTATAGTTATATACTATGTTTATCTTTGATATACATATAATTGTATTGTGGTTAATGCTATTTTCTTTTTTAGTTTTGATAGACTAACTACCGATATTCCTATTTGGTCTATATGTAGTAAATACTGAAATCTATAAGAAATACAGTATAGTAGATATTGCAAAAATTTTTATGTTCAAAATGAGTTTTTTAGCAAAAAGAAAATCTATAAATTGTATCAATAGATCTATAATTAAAATGTATCTTGTGATTATAAAATAATGCTACCAAGAAATGTAAAAAGAAATTTATTAAATTTTGAAAGAGTGCTTTATTGTGAGTATGCAAAATATTCTATTTAGCATGCTTGTTTAGCTGTAAAAAATTATAGTGACAGTAAATAAAAAATTTATTAATAAAAATTTTTATATTTAAAGATGTTTTCTCTGTCTTGTCTTCTAATATCTAACATCATAACTCCTAAAAGACTAAAAATAAATCATCAAGTATTTATTAAATTACTTGTATTAAAAACTTGAAAAAAGGTTATCTATATATATAAATTATGCAAAGGTGAAAGAGAACCTTGTGATCTTTGAACAAGAGATGCTCATATTAAAAAATATGAAATTTGTAAGGAATTAGTAGGTTCTGAGCCTCAAGCTAATATTTTTTTTCTATTGATCTTCAAATAGAATACAGTAGTATATCACAAACTGATATTTCTAATTTAATCTTCAAGAAGAATCTTTATTTGTAACTAAAAAAAATAAAAAGAAAATAAAAACCATAATTAGAGAACAACCTGATATTAATATAGTTTTTGAGACTTTAGATAACTCTGATTATAAAGAAGTTACAGAAATTAAACCTGAAAGCAATAATAATAAGAAGACCATAATAGATTATTTTGCTTCCAATATTGAAAGCAGTGATGAAAAAATATTTAAAAATATTGAAAATCTTGAAAACTTTAGTTGGATATTAATATGGATCTTAAAATACTAACAAAGATATCAGCTGCCCAATACTACAACAGAATTATTAATTAAGTTTATGTATTATCTATTAACTAATCTTGATCAAAACCAATTCAAAAACTTTTTTGAATCACTATATATATTCTAAAAATTAATAGGATTAGATTTATACATAAATAATTATACAATATATCCAGAATGTAATAAGTTATATGAACTTGATAAAGTAATAACAAAAAGACCTAGACAAACCCATTATATCTTAAATATAATTTTGTAAAATATTCTAGTTATCCAATGTTTAAAATAAAACAATCTTGTAATTAACAATTAGCAAAGGAGGTATTTACAAAGGATAGAATATTGTTTTGTTCTTTGCTTACTTATCCAACAATTAGTATTAAATATTAGCTCAAGTTATTATATAGCCAAAACAGATTTGAAGCATCATGCAGAAAATAGATTAATAGAAATATAAAAGATAATTATCTTGCCAATATTTATGATAGTAATATATAGAAAATTTTTAAAAATCAAGGTGAGGATTTCTTCATATCAAAACATGCTGATACACATCTTGGCTTTATGATTTACTTGAATTGTAAAATAGAATAGAAATTTCCACCAATGAATCTCCTATGGCAAAAAAATTAAATGCATCATTATATGTTATTCATATGATATTCTAGTAGCTAGAAAGTTATGTGAACAAATATTAGCAAGAATTGTATGTTTTTAATATAAAAAACATACACAATTTGATGCTAAACATTAATCTAATTTTGGTAGATTTTCAGATATAGATGACTGGTTTGTAGAGTGTGATATTGAGAAAATTAAAGAAGATGCATATAAATAGTTATAGTGCAAGACTGAGGATCAAAGAAAGAAACTCCTCTCTGAAAACTAATTTATAATTTTTTTTTTGGGTCAGAAATTTAAGGTCAGAAACGTGATCCAAGTGGGTCAGAAACAATGTTTTTGCAGACAGGATTGCTAAAGTTAAAAAAATTTTTATTATAGTTTCGGGATTTCGGATTATAGTTTCGAGAGTTTTGGGTTTCGGAGTTTCAGTTTTTTTCTAAAAATCCGAAACTAGTTTCGGATTAGAACCTTCCCGAAACTAGTTTCGGGTAGGTTTCGTTTCGAGGCCAACTCTAACTGGAACTAAACCTGTACATAGAGAATGTATACATGATTTATTAAATTTATGCAGAAAATTTAGCAAAAACTTTGGTCAGCCAGCAGATTTCATTTATTGCGCTTTGCAAAAAGATGTGACCTCTGCAGATCACAATGTCGCGTGAAAATCGGAGATTCTGTAGATTTTAAGAATCTTATCGATTTCAAATAAATATAAATATAACTGATAGAAAATAGACAATCTAGAATCTCGGAAATTTTCCTCTTTCATCATCACAAAAATCATGGGGTCACATCTTTTTGCAAAGCGCTATAAAAAGTACTGAATAAGTTAGACTTAATGTGTCTTTCTAAAAGCAATGAACACAAAATTGCTTGAGAACTCAAAGTTACAGAAAACTTACTAAAGTCTTAGTTAATACTCGAGCTTGCAAGCTTTGCAATTTTTATTTCAATTATATGAATATACTTTGAAATATTATATTTGAACAGGGTAATAAACATGCATTGTACATGCCATTCTGGTTATACCGACACTTTGAGACATTAGTAAAAAAAATTCAAATGTAGATACAGTGAGTTATACCGACATTTTTATATTAAAATTTTCGAAAAAAAATGTCAGTATAGAAGGATTTTACTATGATGTCGTTATATCCAGATATAGGTATAACCAGAGAGATGTGTATTACATTAATGCCGATAGCACCGAATTCAAAAACTTATCGAATCCGGTCAAATAATCATCGGCCAATTTTTCAGTCGTCCCAGAATTTATGAGAACAGTTATAAAAATCAATGCCAAAATACTTACAGCCAAGCTGAAATAGTATCTACATGCTCAATTCTGAATCAATGAAATATAACGATAATTCTTGAAGAGTTTCTGATTCCAGTGGTCCTAATTTAAGCGGATAGATTGTTCCTGATTCAACCATCAAGTGGTTCTTAATTCAATGAGACTATTTTTAACCTAAAACTTTTTTTTTTTTTTTTATGAAGTCAACGGATTTAAGTAAAATATTTTGAGTATGTTAAACACATCAAATGCTTAATGATAGATAATTGTAAGTAGATCATGACAGCTTGAAGTATAAATAGAGACGTATTTTATTTTTAATTAAAAACAGCTTTTTGTAAAAAAAAAATTAACGAACTAAACCTTTTTGACTGTTCTAATTCAAACATCAGTGTGGAACTGATCATTAACAATTTTATTAATTCCATAATTTCGGCAGAAGTTAATTTTGATGAAAAATTTGTAAAAATCAAAATGCGAAAAAACAGTTTTCACTTCTAAGCTAACATTTATATCTTACAATACAATGAGTAAACTTTGTTATAATAAAAATTTTGCTATTTCATATTTCTATAAAATCTATTTTTTTTTGCACCAAAAACCTTTGAAGTATCTTATTTTGAAAAATGGCGTTTTGAGACTATCGACGAAATCAAACTCGAAATTTGATTAGTTGGCATTCACGTTATTATCTACATAAACTCAACGATAAGATTCTCTTGCTACATATTTTAGCATTTAATTATTTTCATCTATCCTTTATTGAATATAGATTGAATTGTCATAACCCATTTAAAGATCTAACTGAATTCTCTTTCAAGACACGTTCGAACCCAATCATTGTACAGAGTTTTTTTTTTTTTTACATATTTTAATATTGTCTCTTAATAATGGCAAAATGGCATTTAAATTTATTTAGAAAATGTAAAGAGGCTAATTTTCACTTTATTTTTATTTTTAACTAGATATTATCTTAATGATTAATTATAAAATGTTGATTACAGTTCCGAGATAAAACGTGATACAACTACTTTAGTGTTTTAAGTAAAAAATTGATCCCAATCTTATTATAAATTGATATATAGAAAAATTTCTTTTGAAAAATTATCAATTTGAGCCTTTTTTCCAGCACCTACTCATTAAACTAATTAGTTTGCTACCACTATTTGCATTTATGTTGAAATTTTTGATAGTGTTTTTAGTTCCGTTAAAACTTTGATAATCTTCTCGCCATTTTTTAAAACTTCAGAGTTCTTCTACTGACCGTTTTCTGGATCTATATTCCAACATTATTTCATCATGTTCACATAAACATTGTGGAGTTTCGTTGTTAATGCGCAATCGAAAATTATTGCATATTATTTGTATTATTTCGATGATTATATATTACACAAAGTCAAAGCCTTTATTCGCATAATTGATCGCTTATTCGCAGTTATTTGCAGACTTTAAAAAGGATTAACGATTAACAAACAAATATATAAATAAGATTATGTAACACTGTACGTTCACTGTTCGTTAACAAAAGATCTGAATTGAATTTTAACCTACAGCAATGGGAGATTTAGAATTAATAACTTCGTATAATGATATTGTTTTACCGACTGCATGGGATATTGAAAAAATATCACCATTTATTGACATAGATTCAAGTAGACTTAAAGTGAGTTATACAGGTAATATGAAAATGAGAAATCTTGTAGAAACATATTTAATGTGTTACTGTAATCATCGGCATTTAAAGGAATATCATCCATCATAGCTATTTAATTTATTAAAAACCTTTTAATTAAAGATCCTGATGAATATAAAGCTGTAATCGTTCGAGCAAATAATCCAATCCCTTCAGAGTGTGGTATATTTTACTTTGAAATTAAAATTATAGACAAAGGAAAAAATGTGTAATATTAATAATTATTTTGTACCATAAACATTACTTTTGTTCTTGTGATTTTTATAATCTTTTTAATTCTATTTTCTTAATAGAATGATTGGAATCGGATATTGTACAAAGCAAATCGATAAAAAAAAAATAGACGATTCAAATTATATAAATAATATGCTCATGTTTGGTAATAGCAAATCTTTATTTTATTTGCTTATTAACATCTTAGGTCAGGAATATAAGGAAAACAAACAAACTAAAGAAAATGAACAAATTAAGGAAATGAAACATGGGGTTGTGGTTATCATGGTGACGATGGATATTCTTTTTGTTCAGGAAGTGGCGAGCCATATGATTTCCCACGTTATGAATATACCGCTGGATATACTACTGGTGATGTAGTTGGATGCTATTTAAATTTTAGAAATAAGATAGTGTTTTATACTAAAAATGGAATTAACTTGGGTAACCAACATTTTAGAAACCTAAGTTTATATTTTTAAAGTAAATAGATAAAATTCAATAATTATAAAATATTTTAAGGAATTGCATGCAATCTACCTAAAGATTTGGAAGGCTATTTATATCCTTGTGTTGGATTTAGATCGCGAAAATTTTAAATATTCTGGTAAATTTATTTAAAAGTTTTAATCGTATTTTGCTTTTTAAATATAATTTCATCAATATATACAGCAATAACTAATGAAGACATTAGTAAAAAATCAATGAATGCATTAATATTGGAATATCAAGAAAAGATTTATTTTATTTTGGGTGGATATGAAAATATGCTTGTTAATTTAGTTGATGAATTAACAAAATCATTAGCGTTAGAAAAAGATCAAAGTAATGTATTTGAATTAAGCTACCGGGGAAATATATTTTTTATAACGGGCAAATATGATAAAGCATTTGAAGATTTAATTAGATTGCTAGAAATTGAACCAGATAATACAATGCCATTAAAATATCGAGGAGAAATTAATTATATGTTGAAAAGGTATAATGAGTCAGTCACTGATTTGGAAAATTTATTAAGAATTAAACCGAATGACGTATGGGTAAAAAAGGCTTCTAGTTAGTTTATGGATCGTAGGTATTACTTTGCAGAAACCTCTGATTTTGCTAAATATATTTATCATATAATAATTATACAATAATCATATAATAATTATATATTTAAAATATTATCTTTTAAAAATATATTATAGGTATTATTAAAATATATTAAAATATCTTAAAAATATCTTAAAAATATTTTTATAATTCTATTAACTCTCGTACAACTATATTGCTACAATATATTTAAAATATTTTAAATATATAGTTTAATATTATTATAATTAAAATATACAAAATATATAATAAATATATTTTTATTAGAAAAATAAATATTTAAAATATTATAATAAATAATAATAATAAATTTATTTATTGTTATATATAATATTTATTATTAATCCAATTTCTCTGCTTATATCTTTATTATAACTAAAATAAGATATTAGTTGAATTAGGCATCTTGGTTGATATAATTATTGAAAAGAATAACTATTGCAAATTACATTGGTAACCTATGACTCTTCAAACATATTCTCTTAGGCATCTATGTAATATTGTAAACCACATAGGCCCTGTATCTTCATTGTTGATTTTGAGTTCAATTTTGTATTTGCCTTGATTCTAAGGAGTATTCATTTGTAAACCTGCTGTTTTCTTCAAAAAAAAGACATGAGAAGCCTTGCCTATAATATCCAAATTGGGAAGTATTGTTTCCTCTTTTATGAGGTGTAAACTTTGTGTTAGGTTTAGATTTTCTCTGATACTGCAATGTATTACTAACTAGTTTGTTTTTGGCATTCTCTATTTTGAGGATTTCTTTAAGATTTGTAAAACCAAATACCTCCTACTGTTTAGCAAAGGTTTGATGTGATAGAAAAATATACTTAATAGCTTGGTCCTGTCAAATATCATTTGTAAAAGAAAAATAATTTAGTAAGAGATTTCTAGTATCTAATAAGAATTGGTTTATAGCTTTCTATATGTCAATAATGCCTTAGAGTTTATTATTATCAGGTTTGGTGTTATATAGTAAGCTTAGTGAATTGTTTAATAGATATAATATTGCAGAAAGTTAGTAAGAGATTTTTGATAATATTTTATCATTGTCTTTTGCATTTTTTGATATAAACTTCTATAAGTCTTTGTTCATTGAGGGTGGTTGAAATTGTATATTCTTGTTACAAAGGTAAGATTGCAATATAGCTTGTCTTTTGTCAAGAGGAAGTGTATTGTCTTTAAAGTTACTTGTAGAGAGATTAAGTATTTCTCCAGATGCGAGCCAGATATAACCCTGGTCTTCGAAATTGTCATGTTCATTATTACTAATTTTATTGTATAAAGGATTAATAACATCTTGTTGTTTGTTGTCAATCTCATTATTATCAATATCAGACATGAAGAGAGTATTAAGTTGAGTGCAGACAGCACCAAGAAAAAATAGTCTAAAGTTTTTATTCAAAGAGAAGGGTAGTATATATATATATACAAAAATTTAGAATAATCAAATCACATGTAATCACATGTAAAATACATAAATGATATAACTATAAGCTTGGGCAGTGACCAATAAAGAACAGACCAAGTATATGATTATTATCTTATCTTCAAATGAGGTTCATTTAGATATGATTATGTTAGTTTTATATTAGAATAAACCTATAGTAATTTACTGTAAAAAATCTTGGTTTTCTGTACTTACAAGCTATAGTGATATAAGTGATTTAATATGAATATATTAGTTTTGTATTGGAATGAATGATTTCTATAGTGATTTACTGTAAAAAGTTCTTACAGACTATTATAGTAATACAAGTGATTTAGATAGGGATATATTAGTTTTGTATTGGAATGAACATGATTTCTATAGTGATTTACTATAAAAAATTCTGGTTTACTGTACTTATGAGCTACAGTATACAAGTGATTTAGATATGAATATATTAATTTTGTATTAGAATGAATGTGATTTCTATAATGATTTACTGTAAAAAATTCTGACTATTGTGGTAATACAAATGATTTAGTTAGTTTTGAATGTGATTTCTATAGTAATTTACTATAAAAAATTCCTACTGACTATTGTGGTAATTTAAATATGGTTATGTTAGTTTTGTATTAGAATAAACGTAATTTCTATAGTGATTTACTATAAAAAATTCTGGTTTACTGTACTTATTTGTTACAGTGATACAAGTGAGTTAGATATAAATTAATATGATTTCTATAGTGATTTACTGTAAAAAATTGTAATTATAAGCTATAGCGATAAAAGTGATTTAGAGCTATATTAGTTATAGTAATTGACTATAAAAATTCTATTGCTATACTTAAGATTATGATTGGCATAAATGGTATATATATACTTTACAGAACCTATAGATTTTGATAAATATATATTTACAGTATAGTTAAAATATTGTTAAAATATTGTTAAAATATTAATATTCTATTAACTTACTTACAACTAACTTTTTAATAGCTTGTTATTAGCTAATAAAAATTTTTAAAAAATAATATTATAAAATTAATCATAAATATTTATAAATTAATGTTATAATTAAAATTTGAAATTGACAAATTATATATAAAATTGGTCAAAAATATTTTTAACTAATAAACTAAAAAGGAAATAACAAATTATACACTATGTGTATAGATAGGGGTTAATTTTTAATTTGCAGATTTGTATAACATGCTAAACAAATAATTTTTATAAACAAAAATTTAAACCCTTATTATAGTTAGGGAAGGGTGGGTTTGGGATTGGGGCAAGAGTTTTTTTATACCAAAATTTTATAAGGAATTTTTTTATTAGAAGATAAAAGGTGGTTTTATAATTAAAAATTTAAGATAGCAATTAGTTTTTCATATATATCATGTACAAGCACTCTGTGTACAAATAGAAATTGCCAAATAAAAATAGGTTCATAGTAAAAATTTATAGTTATCAATGATTTTTAAAAAACTTTAATTATTTTAATTTTTCTTATATATAATATAATCTTATATCTAATTGATAAATTGGATTAATAATAAATATTATATATAACAATAAATAAATTTATTATTATTATTATTTATGATAATATTTTAAATATTTATTTTTCTAATAAAAATATATTTATTATATATCTTGTATATTTTAATTATATTATAATAATATTAAACTATATATTTAAAATATTTTAAATATATTTTAGCAATATAGTTGTATAAGAGTTAATAAAATTATAAAAATATTTTTAAGATATTTTTAATATATTTTAATAATACTTTTAATATATTTTTAAAAAATAATATTTTAAATATATAATTATTATATGATTATTGTATAATTATTATATGATAAATATATTTAGCAAAATTAGAGGTTTCTGCAAAGAACCAAGAAAGTTTTTGTTAAACTATATCCAAGCAATAGCAAGAATATATAGTATATACAATATATAGTATGTATAGTTAAAAACTTTTTTTTAAAAAAAAAATTTGATTGTATATAATACAGTATATAATATAATATTAACAAATACAATTTATTATATTTAAATATGTGCTTATACAAATACTATTAGAAAAATATGTTATTTTGTACATAATAAAATGTACTTACTTAGTTTTACCAATCCAAGTATAGTGTGATCAAAGATCATATACATATATACCAATGAACCCATAATAAAAATCGCATAATAGATGGCACTTTGCTTATTATCGACAACATTTACCATTTCTTATATGGTAAAAATTTGCCCTCGAATATTATTTTCACTCTGGTTGAGTCATCATTCCCTTTAACCTAATACGTTTATAGTAAATCAACTATTAATAAATTATATTGAAATAATAATATATTTTAAAAAAAATTTTTTTTCCTACCTTTTCAACATTTGCAGTGAAATCAATTGCAGACATAATTCCATCACCAAACTATAAAAGGAATAACCATTTATTAAATATGTAATGAATGAATTGGCAATTCAAATTTACCTTTTCATTAACAACATCCTTTAACGGAAGTCCGTAAACCTATTAACCAAAAGTAAAGGTTGAATATTATAAAAAAAAATTGAACATAGCAACATTTAAATCACCTTTTACCTGCATGATTTCATATAAACGATAAATAAAGGGATCTCTGGGAGGAAGTTCAAATAATCTATAATTCACAAAATTTATCATCAAAAAATATACTTTTTTTTTTAATACAAAATAAGAATGAAATAATAATTTAATTCGCTTTACCCTCCACGTGTAGGAAAGAAAGTCTGTCCAATATCAGTTGTAAGGTATTGTTGTGGTAAATCCAAGATTGCGCTTAATTTTTTAAGATCTGCCTCTTCAGGTTTTGCCTTTTTCAGTAAGGATAATCCAATAGAAACAATACGTAGAAATGTCATCTATATAATTCAAAAAATAATACCGGCAATAATAAAAAATGAAAAAAAATATAAAAACCTGGCCATAAAAGACGGACGCAACCCAAACTTCATCTCGTCCAAGTTGTTTCCCAATGTCAGCAAAGCTTTTAATTAAAATTTGTTATAAAAAGGAATTGTAAGTCATGGAACTGTAAAATTGAGATATATATCTTACAACATACGTAAGTTTTTTTGATGCTTTAGCTTCAAATAATTTTTGCAAGATAGGGGATAATTTGGTTTTTAAAGTAGGCTTAATTACAGAATTAATTCAATTGAAAAAATATTATTAGATAATATAATTTAATATAACGAGTATTGATTTCTTTCACAACTCACATTCATTCTTTAAACGGATAAATATCGATATTCAGAATTATAGATTGTCAATTAAATCAAAAATCAAACACATGTTTGATATGCATAAACCTGTTATGATATATTAAATATTTTAGTTTGTTGTATATTTTGATTTTATGTGTCAGTTGCGGGTCCAAAGATAATGATGTCGTAAGGTTAACAAGCGGTATGAATTCAACATTCATATGGGTTTTTACAATCATTTAAGATCACTAATAGATATAGATAATCCTCGATAAATTGAAA